GCAGGAGGTGTGTGGAGAAGATCGCATTGTAAATATCATAAAAGCAAATAAAGATATTTTGATGATAAATGATTTTTTCTCATTCTTAACTTGTAAATCACCCTTACTTTTTGCTCTCTACAAATGCAGCTGTTGAGAGCTAGACCTAAGAAGCTTGGATTAGGTATGTATATAAGTTCTTCTGTTTGCAATGAAAACAATGAGTTGTTCCCTGATGCAGGTTTTAATTTTAGGTACTGCTTATGTCCATGGTTTGAAGCATGCTTCGGGAAATTTTGTTGTTATCATGGATGCTGACTCATCACACCATGTAAGTATGTTTTCTTGTATTTAAATGACAATTGAGTTACTTTGGGGAAAAATTAGGAACATATAAGCTGAGTTGTAAATCCAGCAATCCACCATATATGCTCCATGTGAACATTGGGGTAATTTCTTTGCCATATGCATTTTTTTGTATCTGCATTTACTACAAGAGTTGTTTTTGTTTGTCATCTCTTTTAATATTATTAACCCCAAAACAATTAATATTCAGTTCATTTGGTTTTCCTGTTTCTTGTTGCACAGCCAAAGTACCTGCCAAGCTTCATCAAGTAAGAAACCTTCCTCTTAAGTCTTGGAGTTATATTATATCCTGCGTGGTAGTAAAAAAAAAAAAAAAAAATTGTGAGTGATGTTTGTGTGATACTTTACCTGCCAAGCTTCATCAAGTAAGAAACCTTCCTTTTAAGTCTTGGAGTTATATTATATCGTGTGCAGTAGTCCAAAAAAAAATTGTGAGTGATGTTTGTGTGATACTTTTGTAGGAAACAAATGGAGACTAGTGCAAGTATAGATACTGGAACCCGGTATGTCAAAGGTGGCGGTGTGCATGGGTGGAATCTGATGCGCAAATTGACAAGTTGAGGAGCTAATGTACTTGCGCACACACTTCTTTGGCCGGGTGTATCAGACTTAACTGGATCTTTTCGGTATTATTAAATTTCTTATGATAAAAAGTTGTCTCTTCCTCTCACTTTTGACATTTTAAAAACTGATATTTTGTTCCATTCTTTTGAAGGCTCTATAGGAAATCTGTGCTTGAGGATGTCATAAGCTCTTGTTTCAGTAAGGGATACGTTTTTCAGATGGAGATGATTGTAAGGGCTTCAAGAAAAGGATACCATATTGAAGAGGTAGTATCAAGGTTCTGAAAAGCTGTTGCGGTCGCTGTAACGGTGGCGGTGACGCGGTTGCGGTTGCGGGGTGTAAAGGCCGTAGTGTAACGGTTGCGGTAACCGGAACCGTGAATTTTTTTATTTTTCGCACAATTTGAAAAAAACTTACTGATACGCATATTTTTTTTTCCATGATCATATTTATTGGGTTAAAAATAAATATTGATCAATTTTTTAAAATTTTTAAGTATGATGCAATATATTTCATATTTTTAAATCACTATAAACTAAGTTTTTTACATTTTATTTTAATAATTAATGACTTTATATTATACAAAAAATCAATCACTAACTATTATATATAAGATAAACAAAGACAAAAATAAGAGAATAAATAAGAGTCTAAATATATATATATACATATTTTAACCAAGCCAAATAGATAATGACCACACTTATTATTATTATTATTTTCAAACAATATATAGATAGACACACACAAACAAACAAAATGGTTTAGTGATAGCAGTTGAATAGAATAGCATAGGTCTTATCTTACACTTTCAACAAATCAATAACATGTTCTTCATCTTCTCTCTTCTCTCTCTCTCTTGCTCCTCCATTTTCTCTCTTTATCTTCTTTCTTCTCTCTATCCCTCTTCCCCCATTTTCAGCTTTTTTTTGTGTGTTTTTTCGGAAGAAACAGTTTGGAACCGTTACGTAACGATGCGTAACAGGCCGTTACGGCTGTTACGGCACCGTTACGACCGCTACGACAGCCGCTACGGCCGACACACCTGTGAATCTCAATCATACTGTAAAAGCGGCCGTAACGAGTGGCGGTAACAGCCAAAACCGTTACGTAACGGCGTTACGTAACGGTTGCGGCCGCTTTTTAAAACCTTGGGTAGTATTCATTTTTTATTATATGAGTTGATGACAATGATTTACAAACTGAGTTTGTGTCAACTTTTCCTGCTACCTTATTGAAGAGTTAGTAACCTAGTGTCAAATCTTATCATTCGGTTTGTCTCTGGTGAGCTAGACATGGGCATGCAACTTTATGAGTCAGGTGCCCTGCACAAAACACTGGCAATTTTGCTTTGATTTGTGGGATGGTGTCTGAATTGTGTTTACTTAAGATATTTTTTCATCTGCTAACCCGAAATTATTGTCTATAGCTCGAGCAATTGACTTGGCTTTGACATTTGTCCACAGGTTCCAATTACTTTTGTTGATAGGGTATATGGAAGTTCAAAGCTTGGAGGATCAGAAATAGTAGAATATCTCAAGGGTCTTGTGTATCTTTTGGTTACTACTTGAGGTGGAGAGAGATTGTTATCCATGTAATCTTTTTCACCTATAGCGAGTCATTGTCTTTGCTCTAGTCAAAAGTTTTGATCGAGAAACAACTGATCATAGGTTCAATTTGATCAGCAAAAATCATCTTTTTTTCTTTTTGACTGATTGATTCTCACTTTTAACTTATAATCATAAAGAGTTTTCTTTTTTACTAACTTTGCGACCTCGGGGACAAAGCCTTTGTTGAATTTTACTGACTTATTGAAATCCATGTGGTTGTACACTTTGTTCTAGTTAAATAGATGATTTCAGCAGTGTTTTTTTTTTCTTTTTTTAAACCTAGATGTTACGAATTTGTCAATATTATGCTGCTGAAAAACGATTGCAACTGCTCTAATGCAATTCTAGGTGATTCATTTCGCATCACAAGGTTACAAATTTACTTATTTTAAGGGTGATGAACTTCCACATGTTAAAGGTGTGTTTGATTGACCTTGTGGTGAAGCTTCCTCCCATGTGGCTTGGTGGCAACAGGGCATGAGTTTTATTCTCACTTGTGGCTTGGAGATGAGTTTATCTTGTGATCACCAGTTTTTTGTTATGAATTCCCATGTTTGTGAGCTTGTTTAGATCCATCTTGTCCAACTTCCCAATAGATGTAGGGCGATTATGATCACGTCCATATAGGATGGACATGCACCAGTTATCACTTCTTATTTTATTTGCCGAGGGATAAAAAAATGAAAGGAAGAAGAAGATAGTTTTGATTGAGATGACCCTTTTGTTGTGCCCAAGGTTTTAAAAAACGGCCGCAACCGTTACGTAACGCCGTTACGTAATGGTTTTGGCGGTTACCGCCACCCGTTACGGCCGCTTTTGCAGTGTGATTGAGATTCACAGGTGTGCCGGCCGTAGCGGTCGTAACGGTGCCGTAACAGCCGTAACGGCCTGTTACGCACCATTACATAACGGTTCCAAACTGTTTCTTTCGAAAAAACATACAAAAAAAAAAGCTAAAAATGGGAGAAGAGGAATAGAGAGAAGAGGGAAGATAAATAGAGAAAATGGAGGAGCAAGAGATAGAGAGAGAGAAGAGGGAAGATGAAGAATATGTTATTGATTTGTTGAAGCGACCTATGCTATTTTATTCAGATGCTATCACTAAACCATTTTGTTTGTGTGTGTCTATTTATATATTGTTTGAAAATAATAATAATAATAATAAGTGTGGTCATTATCTATTTGGCTTGGTTAAAATATGTATATATATTTAGGCTCTTATTTATTCTCTTACTTTTGTCATTGTTTATCTTATATATAATAGTTAGTGATTGATTTTTTGTATAATATAAAGTCATTAATTATTAAAATAAAATATAAAAAACTCAGTTTATAATGATTTAAAAATATGAAATATATTGGATCATACTTAAAAATTTACAAAAATTGATCAATATTTATTTTTAACCCAATAAATATGATCATGGAAAAAAAATATGCGTATCGGTACGTTTTTTTCAAATTGTGCGAAAAATAAAAAAATTCACGGTTCCGGTTACTGCAACCGTTACACTACGACCTTTACACTCTGCAACCGCAATCGCGTCACCGTCACCGTTACGGCGATCGCAACCACTTTTCAGAACCTTGGTTGTGCCCATTGTCCCAGCTAATGTTTAATGGCGATGGCCACCACACCAGCATAATTTGGGTCTTTGGATCCCCCTTTTTGGTTTGAGATGAGATTGGGAATGCAGTGATTGAAATTTCAGATTTGACGAGTTGGAGTGAGGTTATTTGTAAAGCAGTTTTTCACAAATGTAAAAGCAAACCACCCTAATAATTAGAGCGTTGCAAACAATACTTCTCTTTTTGAATTGAAATAACATTTAGAAGCTCTCTTATTTGTCAAAATGCTACCCACGTCCTCTGTAATTTGAGAATAAAGATTTGGACCCCTTTCCCCCACCCCTTTTTGACCCCTTTTCTTTTTGGATTGGCCACTTTTTCTTTTTCTTTTTCTTTTTTTTCTCCTCCTCCAATCACCACCCGACACACACACACACGGTGTGTATGGGTGGTGAGGATTGAAGTTTAAGGAGGCCTAAATCACTACTGGTAATTTGAATGAGAGCAACACAGTCATTCAGCTAAATCATGAAGGCATGTATGTCCTCCACACATTCAAATAATAGACTACCCAAACAAAAAAAAGACAGACAAGCAAAAATATAATCAAAGTGAGAGCCATAACCGGAGGAAGAGATCTAATGAAATATAGCCCCAATTTCCTTAAACCAGAAGTAAAATTTCCAAGGAAAAACCTCCAATCACCACGCACCACACACGGTGTGTGTGGGTGGTGAGGGTTGAAGTTTGAGGGGTTTAAATCACTGCTGGTAATTTGAATGAGAGCAACACAGTCATTCTGCTAAATCATGAAGGCATGTTCCACACATTCAAATAATAGACTACCCAAACAAAAAAAAGACAGACAAGCAAAAATATAATCAAAGTGAGAGCCATAACCGGAGGAAGAGATCTAATGAAATATAGCCCCAATTTCCTTAAACCAGAAGTAAAATTTCCAAGGAAAAACTCCACAGATTCAGTTTTTCCGAGCTCTTCGAACTCTGTTTTTTTCAATCACCACCAACCACAATCACCATATCAAACAACTAGTTTCAAAGAAAACAGAACTAGCACAAACAAAACAGCCCAATTCCCCTAAAGCAAAAGTCAAACTTGAGACCTTTTTCACAAACCCATTTCAAAAAAATCAGATTTTCCGACCCTTTCTAGCAACAGTTTTCCGGTCACCGTCGGCCACAGATTTCTCGAAATTCACAGGCAAAGGGGGTTTCTTGGTCATGCTTCTCAGCAAATACCGCTGATTCTCTGTCCGACCCGTCATCACCGGTGTAGATGGGACTGTTTTTGTCAATCCCCCGAACCTCTTCGAGTCCCTTCTCTTCGCAGATTCGACTTTAACACCGAGATCATACACAGTCTTCTTCTCAACCCCTGTTTCCCCCTTCTTCCTCTTCAGCCTCTCATTCCTTCTTGCAGAGTACTCATCGTAAAACCTACCCCTCTCGAAAAGAGGACTTGAAATAGCACTAGACGTATTTCCAAACCCCACATTTGCAAATTCGTCTTGCACCATCTTCGCCAAGGCGCGTAACTTGCAAGAGATCGTGTGGTACTCGGGACGAAGCACCGATTCTTTGATTTCACAAGGGTGGTTCGGCGATTGGGTTTTCGTCAAAAAACCTGCATAGCTCAACAAGAATCGGGAAAAACTAAAATTTGAATCGAATACATTGAAAATAAAGTGAATTTGAAGTGTGTATTGGGAATTTTAAAGTACCCGGCGGAGATTGGACGGTGTTGGAACTGGAGCGAAGGATTCGACGAGGACGAAGACGCATAGGAGATATAGCGGCGAGTGGGGGCTTGCGATCGGATCTCATCTTGGACATGGATAGAATTCAAAGAAATCTGCAGAATGTGTGTATGAGAGAGAGAGAGAGAGAGTAGTTTTACCTTTTTTTTTGTTCTACAAATCTTCAATAAAAGGAAGGGCAAATTACATATACACCCCTCCAGGTTTGGTTAAATTACAGATACCCCCTGAGGTTTCGGAAATTACATCCCGCCCCCTGAGGTTTGTATGAGTTTTCAACCAACCCCAGGCCGACACGTGGCACTGGGGGTCACTGGGGGTCACCCCAACTGGGGGTCTGTAGCATTGCTGAAAAGGAAATACCTTTTTGATTTTTGAAAGCACGGGAGCGTCTCCAATTCCAACGGGCAGATTGAGGGTGGGCTGATACTATTATTTTAATAAATTATTTTAAGAATAAAGCTTCCGACCCGCTGAGGGCTCACTGGGTCCCTTCCTATTGGTCTAAAATATAATTTTTTTTTTTAATTTTCAGTCAATCTCAGGTCGACACGTGGTACTGGATCACCCCCACTAGGAGTCTGTAGTATTGCTGTTATTTTAATTTTTGATTATTTTAGTATATTAAAATTTTTATATTTAGAAAGATAGATTTTTTTTTGTAGCTAGATGTGATATTTGTAAGAAAAAAGTGAAATGATTATGAATTTAATGTGATATTTTATCTTATTAATTATTTTAGTTATATTTTGTTATTTTGTGAATTTTAGTTTAAAAAGTCAAATAAAACCTTTTCCAAACACCCCTTGAGTTAGGATTGATTTGGGATGTGGGTTGATTTTTTACTTTTTAATTTTTTAACTATTTTAATTTGGGGTTACAAAATTTTGTTTGGGATAAGTTTTTTAGTTTTTTTGATTTTGTGAGTGAAAAAATAAAATGATTATGATTTGGATGTGATATTTTGTCTTATTTAGCTAAAAACGTATTTTGTCTTTTTGATTATTTTTGTCACGACCCAAACCCGGTACCCAAAGGTTCGGCTTCGCAACAAGATAATAAAAATTAAATAATTCTAAAAATTTTGTAATAGTAACGCAAGCGGATAAATTAAATAAAATAAAAAGGGTACCAAAAGTTTATTAAAAATGGAAAAAAATAATCATTTGGCTTTATTTTATTAAAAGAGTCCTATCAAAAATACAAATAATAAATAAAAAAAAACACAGCAATTTATCTCTCATTTTGATCCCGCTAAATCTCTTCACCTGAAAGGGGTAATAGCTATAAGCACATGGTATAGTAAGAAATATTATACTGTAAGTATAGGGGCACAAAATAATCATGGATAGTTATTAAGTTAAAACATTAACCTAACTTAATTTAAATAACCCAATTGTTTAAGTGGCAAAAACTAAAATATAGAAATTATGTAAATAACTGCGACCACGGTACAGAATAGAACAGAGCAAATGTCACTGGAGTAACAAACAGAACAGAGATCAATGAATCCATAACAAACAGAGAACCACAAAGTGGCCAAATAGAAGTCAATGATTTATTTAAGTCCTCCATGGTATGGGACTCCCGTAATGGTACTTACAGAAAATAATTATTTATAAAATTATTGTCAAATAATTTATAAAATTTAAACAAACATATCCATAGATTTCAATTTAAGCAAATAAAGTTCAGAAAATAATCCACGTAATTAAAACATTAACTCAACCATAAAGCATAAATTATATAAAATAAATTGTGGTAACTCAAAACATTCGTAAAATATATTATGGTAACTCAAGACATATATAAAACATGTTATGGTAGCTCAAGGTATAATATAGTTCACCTTACAATTACTCCGAAATTAACCTTGACTCACTCCCCATTTTTAAGACTCCCCTACAACTTGACCCCCTTATATGTGTGATTCTTGCTTGGATGCCCCTTACTACAGCACCACCCTCCATATTTATACATGACTAAATGTGAGGCCTAAGCAAGAGAAGCATACACATCTGTAATTTCCCCTCTTGCCACTTGTTTCACCCCTCACATTTTAACCCCTAAATTTCCCAAGAGTCATTTAACTCTTTGGCGCAAGAAAAAGTTTGATTTGACTTCTCGCAATTGGTACGGTTACTACCCTCTTGGTAATTTACAATGATCCCTAAAATTACGTATGATTATAAATTAGGTTCACGTCTAACAATCTCACCATCAAACTATAAAACATCACTTACTGCTTAAAATATTTAATATTAAAAATGTGATGTCCCACAATCTATCTCTTTAAACAAAGATTTCTATTATTTTAAAATTAATAACAACCAACATTTTAAACCACAAGCTTTCACGAAACACTTTTTAATATACTAAGGAATTCTATTTATTTATTTATGTATTTATTTATTATTATTATATATATATATATATATATCCTATTCATGAGTAATTGATAAAATCACAGTATTGAATTAAATTAAAAATTCGAGTGTCACATTTCTCCTCTCCTCAAAAGAAGTTTGTCCCAAACTTGACGTACCTTGGTTTCGAAAAGGTGTGGATATTTGGCTCGCATTTGACTTTCAGTTTCCCATGTCGCTTCTTTGGCATGTTGGTTCCTCCATAAAACTTTTACAAGAGGTATAGTCTTGTTTCGAAGGACCTGATCACGACAATTAAGAATCTACATGGGTTGTTCTTCATAAGAGAGGTCTTCTTGAACTTTCAAGTTCTCATAATCAACAACATGCTCCAGATTTCAAAGATACCGCCGAAGCATCGAAACGTGAAACACATTTTAAACGTTGGATAGTTCGGGTGGAGGCGCTAGGCGATATGCCACAGGATCAATCCTTTCTAGTATCTCAAATGGCCTGATGTAACGTGAGTTTAACTTTCCCCGCTTCCCAAATCGGATAACCCCTCTTGTTGGTGAGACCTTTAGGAATACATGATCGCCTATTTGAAATTCTAAGTCTCGTCTCCTCTCCGTGTATCTACATAGCTTTTCTAGCGACTCTGAACAATGCGAATTCATTGTTGGATGAGTTGAATTTTATCACTTGTAATTTGCACGATTTCAGGGCCTAACAGTTTCCTGTCACCGACTTCCGTCCAACACAGAAGTGATCGATATCTTATTCCATACAATGCCTCGTAAGGTGCCATTTCAATGCTTGCTTGGTAGTTATTATTATAAGCGAACTCCACCAAAGGTAGGTGATCATCCCAATTACCTTTGAGATCTAGTGCACACACACGTAACATATCTTCCAAAGTCTGGATTGTTCTTTTAGATTGCCTATCAGTTTACGGGTGATAAGCCGTGCTAAACTTCAGAGTGGTTCCCAAAGCTTTTGACAATATGTTCCAAAAGTGAAACACAAAGCGGAGGTCTATATCAAATACGATTGAAACTGGGGTGCCGTGCAAACAAATGATTTCCTTAATGTATAAAGTAGCAAACTTAATAACGGGGTACGTGATTCTGATTGGTAGAAAATGCGCCGACTACGTCAATCGATTTACGATAACTCATATTGCATCATTCTTCGAGATTGACTGCCGTAACCCAACCACGAAGTCCACAGTAATGTGCTCCCATTTCCATTCAGGAATAGGGAGTGGTTATAATATTCTTACAGGTCTCTGATGTTCTGCTTTAACCCATTGAAAATGCAGACATTTGAAGACGCGACTTGCTATGCCTTTTTTCATTCCCGTCCACCAATAGTGTTTCTTCAGATCATGACACATCTTCGTATTGCCAGGGTAGATCGCAAATCTCGAACTATGAGCTTTTACCAATATCTTTTTCTTGAGTTATGGAAGGTCGGGAACGCAAATTTGATTCTGAAATTTTAGCATCCCATTGCTTATCGTGAAGTCAGGATCAGGGCGTTCTTCATTGCTTCTCATACTTTTTCTTCAAAACTTTTTCTTCACATTGGCGGGCTGTAATTTCTTCAATTAACTGGATTCCACGATTATGTTGGCGAGCAGTCTATTGATCTTGTGGGAAACGAGGGTACATGCCAAACTTCTGGTTATCTTTCAACTCAATATGTCTGCTACCATGTTAGTTTTGCCTAGATGGTGATGGATTTCTACATCGTAGTCTTTCATAAATTTTAGCCATCGTTGTTGCCTCATATTCAGTTCCTTTTGTGTAACATATATTTAAGACTCTTGTGATTAGTGTAAATTTCACAAGTTGCACCGTAGAGATAGTGACGCCAAATTTTGAGGGCAAAGATTACTGCGGCTAATTCCAGATCGTGGATCAAGTAGTTCTTCTCATGGGTCTTTAGTTGACATGAGGCATATGCAATGACCTTTCCATTCTGCATAAGAATGCTGCCCAAACCATTGTATGAGGCATCACTATAAATTACGAACCTTTCCGTTCTCACGGGGAGTGCTAGTAGTGGTGCTGTCATGAGTCTGTTTTTTAGTTTTTGGAAACAACGTTCCTGCTTGTCCGTCCATTCAAAAGGTGTGTTCTTCTGAGTTAGCTAGGTCAAGAGTGATGCTATTGTAATAACCCTCATCACTGCTTACCGATAAACATTGATTACCGTCAAACTGAACTGATTATGACTGATAATTGAACTGATTAAAGTACTGAACTGACTGACTGAAAACTGGAACTGAATTGACTGAGTATGTGTGTTAATCTGTATTCTATCTGTTTGATTGTTTACTTGATCTGTTCACGTTTTATGTTTTGAAGGCCTTATCGGCGGCCAAACCGGGAATTGATTGATGTTTTATGATCCTCAAAATTAATGTGATTTTATGGTGTATTCATCTGAAAACTGATTAGGTATGATTAAATTAGATTAAATATTGATAGATTGCTTAAGTTTGACTTAATTACCTTAATGCCACTTAAGTGGCCCATTACTTGAATCATCTTTGAGCCTCATTACACTCATACATACACATTTCATCAGCTCATTCCTTAGACTCAACCGACCAAGATAGAGAGTGAGAGAGAATTGAGTGGATCTTGAGTTCATTGGTAGAATTGCTTGAAGAATTGAAGTATAGCTTGCTAATTTGAGCTTCTAGTCTTGCATTGAAGACCTAAGGTAGAGTAACTGCCCTTTTGTTCTTGAGTTTAAGTGATTCTTGCATGATTTATAGCAAATTGTAGCCTTGAGCCAAGTTATGGCTCTTACATGGTGAATTGAAGCTCTTTCCTTGCATGCATGTTTGTATTGTAGATGTTGAGTTGTTTTCATGGCAAAATGTTACATGCATGCTCACAATTATGTTTAAGTCCATGATTTCATCATGTTTTGGAAACAATTGGCTCCTTAGTGCATCAAATTGAAGCTTTGAATTGATTTGAATTCATGCATGTTTGCATGTTCATCCTGTTCTTGAAAATGGTTTGAAATTGGGTTTGAATTAAACACCCTTGGGCTTTGATTTCTCACAGTTGAGTT